CTCATTCTGTTTGAGATCAGGGACACTGATCTGAACTAAGCACTGTAAGCTTCACCACCACAAAAGTGTATTTTGAGAGAGGAGTGTACCCATCTACAAAAGTCAGGGTTAAATTACTATCTATGACATACATGCCAGAGAGGTTTCACATCACCAAACAAGAAAGGTGAAACTTACAATCCAATCATGTCACATTTGTTGTTTATGGAACTGGTGGAAGACCATGTTTTGATCATAGTGGGATACACAGCGTTAGCATATACATTCAGAAAACTTATTTTAAATGCAGCTGACTAACTACTTATTATCAGTCATTCATTAAGACAAGTGTAAGCACTTTCACTGTCCGAGACAGAATGTTCATTAAATCTTTCCAGTGCTAAATTTTCCTCATCCTTCCCCTACAGAACAATGCTATGCTTTGACATGGACAGAGAGAAAAAGCTACAGTCCAGAAATTCATACAGAGACAAAGGTGAAATGAATAGTTTTACATTCACTGTAATTTGGTACACACATTACCTTAAAGTAAAGCACAAATCCTAGGCCATGATCAGATACAGCAATGGGAGTCATGTAAAGAACTAGACAGATTAGAGTATTAAAACAAAACAAAAAATCCCCAAAACACCACCACAAAGAATATTTAAACATTGCTGGACTCAAGCACAAGCCTGGGACCTTGGCCAGGAAAGTCCCCTGATGGTGTCATATCCAAGTTAGGACACAGTCAGGCGTGAGCATACAGCATGGCAGGCACTGCACTCAGGTGAATGCCAGACCTCTTCGCTTGCCTCTACTAGCTGTGCAAGTGCTCCTTCAGTGTTCTAGCACAAAGTCAAACACCGGAGTCTGTGGCTGAATCACATCTCAGGTGTCAGTGGCTGAAGCACAAGCTTGCTGTCTACAGGTGCAGGTGGAACTCCAGCCCCCTCAGAAGTCCTGCTCTCCTCTGGTTTCATTCAAGAGCCAGAGAAGTTGGAATGTAGCTCTCTGAATGGTTTCCACACCATGGATCAAGTTGGGTGCAAAGACCTGTTTGGTCTTCTTGCCAGGACATAGGAAGTATTTAGGTACGTTCTAAAAATAACTAGATACTAAACTTCTTTATGCAGGACTTACCTACTCAAACCTGGATGGTTCTTCTACTTCACTACTGTGGAGTAGAAGAACCCACCCAAAGTTGTTATGCAACTCAACTACTATTCACTCTTAGAAGTTCTGCCTAAATTATGTGCCTTGAATAAAAGTTCTAAAGGAAAAATAATTAAGACTTATCTTACACTAAGTTTCCTTTCAGGTCTTTCTGAAAAAAATTTCTATATAATCTCATTGTTGAACAGTAAGCTGAGAACTAAACCTGAAAAAGAACTAGCATTAAGGTATGTAGGGTGGTGTTTTACCAAAAAACACTCTCATTTAAAAATAATTACTGAAAATATTATGATTTACACCAATTAAAATAGTATAATATTTTTAATGTAATGTTAATAAATACTGTAATTTCTTAAACTTAATGGAAAGAAAAATACTGAAATTATTTTAAGTCTGAATATACAAAGAAATACCATTATGTGACTAGTCCACCAGAACTAATTCTTGGCTAATCTTTAAGGTCATGTAGCCCTGCAGATGGTAACCTTTGGGTGAATCTGTACTCCACACTGGAGGAACACTGCTGTAGGTAGAACCCTTTCTTTGTTAACACATGTAAGTAGATGTACTCAATTTATCAGCTTGTTGAAGACAGAAGCAATTTAACCTTTAGCCTCTTCTTATATACTGTGGTTGCCTACTGGAGTTTGTTCTGCAGTTGTTTTTAGCCATACTGGTGAAGACTTCAGCCCTTCTACCAGCTCCCTTTCATTTCCTTTAAATTCTTCTTTCCTTGACAGCTTGCTCTGGCTCTACTTAAGTTAAAACCCTTAACTCACATAGTACTTTACAAGACAATCATCAAAATCTATTTTCCTACATTTCCTCTAATGTTCTCTGCCCAGAATTCTAGTTTATTCTGTGTAAGAATAGTTGTGGGTTTGCACCACGCGAATGGTGCACAGTCTACAGGAACACCCAGCACCTTCATTCTGCTGTGGTTCCATAGCCGGCAAGGAAGGTGTATAGAAATGGAGAGCAAAGTTAAAGGCAGGTCCTCCAGTCCTCCCTCTCTTAGAGGTAACTTTCTACCAACTTTGGTGACTGACAGTTTATCAGTCAAATTACATGTCCTTACATAATTCCTTCTTTAAAACCCACCTATAGAGTACTTCACCCACTTCTATCACTCTAGTATCCACATGCTTACAAATAATTCTTCTTAAAAAATTACTAAATTCCATGAAAACAGCTGGCACTTCAGTATGATAAAGTCTATATTATAATACACAAAAAAACCCCAACCTATACCAGCATAGCTTTTAGTATACAATTGCAATCACATAATCACAGAAGAAAGTGTGTTTCCTTCTTCATTCAGTATTGCTTTACACATTGCAAGGTTTTGGTATTTTGGCTTTGGTTTTTGTTTGTTTGGTGGGTTGTTTTGTTTGTTTGTTTTACTCAACCACAAACCAGTGTGTCTTCCTCCCAAGATGCTCCTTCATTCTCCAATAACCTTTTATTAGGAATTTTGGAGAAGGTTAGATAGGTATGAACCCAAGGACCATCTAAGAACAGATGGCACAACTCACTACAGGTTTTAAGGCTCGATTTTCCAGGGAAATGAGTTTCTATGAGCTGTACATTCCTGCCTTTTGCAATAATTTCTGACTTTGTTAGACAATTCTTGTCCCATCTGACAAAGGACTAGAGGTCTCAAGATGACATTAAAAGGCTAAGTTGGTGGGTAGGTTGAGGGGAAGCAGAACATGCTTCACTAAGGGAAAATAATGCAACATGAGCCCATCCTATATTAAAGATGAGAGCATCTGCATAGGATATCGAACTGCAGGCACAAACATGTAGAGTCTGGCTTCACTGGCTCTACATTATCACAGCTGTTATTTGGTGTGGTGCGTTGGGCTGCATGGCCATGACTGACTAGCAGAAACACGGTGCATTTTCCCCATGCTCCTGTATCTTGATGATGATACATAAATGGATTGAATAATCTAAAATAATAGCATTAGCAATACAAACCAAAGAGGAACCCTACCCTTGAACTGGGAAGATTACTCTCTAAGAGTAATTTAGGTGAGTAGAAGTACTTACTACACATCTATAAATATCTAGGAGATCAGTCTAGCTAGTTTTAAGCTATCCTCTAGTCAAGACACAAATCAAGCTTTATGCTGCCAGGAAAGGAGGAGGTTGCTGATTTCCCAGCTGCTTTCTTGCATAGCTGCATTGACCTGGTGAAGCTTATTTCCAAATAGGTTTGTTTGGTTTTTTTGAACCAGCTGTTCCACACTTCCAGAATGTGTCTGGTTTTGGGCAAAGGCAGAGTTATTCTGCTGATAATGTAACTCCATATATATTCCTGTAATTCTGAAATAAGTCTATCTGCCTTAGATTTTGAAGGCTACAGAATGCAATATTAACATTTTGAACACTTAACACTTAATTAATATTTGATTGGCACATAATAGCAACTATTATATTAAATACTATCTAGTTTTTATGGGCATATACTAACAGAAGGCTGGGTTGCTAATAATTTCGCAGAAACAGAATATACTTCTGGATGAATAATACAAAATAAATTTATTTTCTATTGGATATACATTTAGCTGAAGACAGGGCAAGGAATCCTCTACTTTTGGTATATATTTCAACTGTATTCTTAGGGTGCATTTGCATAAAGTTATCCCAATGCATCCTTCTGAAGGCAGCAAAAGGAGTTGCAAAGTTTCCAGACATGACCCTCAAAACTCAATGAATGCCATAAATGGGATAAAAGGAGGGTGACAGAGCCCTGGAACAGGCTGCCCAGGGAGGTTGTGGAGTCTCCTTCTCTGGAGACATTCAAGACCCGCCTGGACGCCTTCCTGAGTAAAATTGTTTAGGTTCCTGCTCCGGCAGGGGGATTGGACTAGATGATCTTTCGAGGTCCCTTCCAATCCCCAACATTCTGTGATTCTGTGATCATCTTACTTAATACTGCTCTTCCCACCCCTAACTCAATTGTGCTGCTTTTCTCTGGGTCCCACAGATCTTCAAAAAGGGTAGTAGCATCTCACCTACCTGTCATTTGCATTTAAAAGGAATGTGGCAGTACAAAACATACGGGCTAAAGCACTTGTCAGCAAAGCAAAGAGTGTGAAGGTCATATAAATGGACATCATCATTCATTTCTATGTTGAAACAACAATGCATTAGGGCATTTATCATGTATCCGTCTCCTTTCCCACCACAGAGGATGTTCAAGACTTGAAAGTGAGGCAGGAAAGTTTGATCCCTCCCAAATTCCGAATTAAAAAAAAAAATTACTGTCCTGGAATGCTCAATTTTAAGTATCTTAGTAGGATTTTAGTTCAGGAGGTCTGTATGCATGTACTCTTGTGAATGGGAGGGTGGGCAAAATGACAAAAAACAGGACACACAAACCCCAAACTACTATTTCTGGTCTCTCTGCAAAGAAACTATGTAACCCCTTCCTTACCACCAAAACCAAATCCAACAGTAAAAATCAACCAATAGTAACTTCTAAAGTAAAATAATTTTTCAAGACTACTATTTCTGGTCTCTCTGCAAAGAAACTATGTAACCCCTTCCTTACCACCAAAACCAAATCAAAACCAAACACAACAGTAAAAATCAACCAACAGTAACTTCTAAAGTAAAATAATTTTTCAAGAATATGGATTTCAGGGAAATAATTATGTACTGCATCAGGTCATACTTATGGTCTGCATCCTCCCTCAAGTGGCTAACTGACTTCATCCAAAAGAACTCCAAAGGAGCTGTTGTGTAATCCACTGGTTTGTCCAGCAAACACGAAGCAGACTTCCTTTTTCTTGCATCTTACTAGACTGCTCATGCAATTTAGCTGGTATACATACCGGTCTTCTCTTATACACGAGGTATATGAAATGTAAGAGGTTGACAACCAAAAACACAGAATTCCAAATCATTATGTCCAAGGCACAACGGTAGAGTGTAGCCCAAACGATGAACAATGCACATCCTGTAAAAATTTAAAAAAAAAAAAAGCGAAGTTAAATTTCACTGAGTAATAAACCCATTCTTATGAAGCCATCAAGAATATGTCCACTGGGTATAATTACACTGCAAAGCAATACATTCTATAAGCTTTACTACAGTTAGGCTATGTTGGACCACTGCATGCACTGGTAGCACGAGCTAATCACGACAATGCTACAAACAGGCACTGAGAGCAGGTTGACAGCAGACTGCAGACCTACTGCATGGGGCTGTAAGACTGGAGCAACAATAATTCAGATGAGGACTGCAGAAAAGAGAAAAGTAAAGCCCACAATGATCTGTTACTAAAACGAAGTAGAAATGGGACAGGGGAAAATTGTAAGTTAAAAAAAAAAAAAAGAAAATTAAGCAGCTCACAAAACTTTATTACTAGTATTGCATTAATTAGACAAACAAGAGCCTAGAACTGAATGCTTGTTTTTCATATCAGTAACATTCATATCCAACTAGTGAGCAGTAGTTGCACAAAAACCTCCTAAAGTCACACACAGATATTTTTGAAAATTTAAAGGCAGCATCAATGCTGCATTTTCACAAGGTCACAGCAGGAACCTGAATTCTCTTGTATGACACCAAAGTAAAAATTGAAAACATTTAGTCTTTTTTTAGTTACTTTACTTTGAATGATGACAATTGCTTTAAAAGATAAGGCATACTATATGATTAGGGATACTATTTTTAGCCTACAAAGACAATACTTATCAAATGATAGATTATGCATCAGTCTCTCCCAGATAACTGTGAACCTACCATCTGATAGAGAGGTCACAGATATATTTTCCCTTATGTTTACCATGTGAAGACAACAAGGAGAAGGAGAAGGTGTCAAATTAGTGTTCCTTTCCCCTTTCTCTCTGAAGATGATGCTGAATTCATTATTATCTACTCTGCCTGGGTTGCTGATTGGCCAGACAGACCTGATGTACAGATCAGAAAAAAATCAAATAGTGATGACTCCTGATCAGCTGGTTAATTAGACTACAAGGGATAGGAGGATACGAGGCCTGGAAGTATTGAAGACAAGCGATACTGCAGAGCAGCAGCACAGAGGTGCAGCAGGGTCATCGCAGCAAAGAGGACAGATCCCTAGGAACCAGGCTTCGTTTCTTCTGCTGCCCACAGAGTAAATTTGCTTCCAGCTGCCACCTCAGCCTGAAAAACCTCTTGATTCCCCATCTCTTCAAACTGCAACAAGATGTACAAACCAAAGCAGCAAGCTCAACAAGTGCAGAACTCATTTTGCTTTTAAAACGAGAACTACACAGACAAAAGATCTTGCAATGCTCAGACCCTTGGTCATCAATGCAGTCTGTTTTAATAAATTATCCTATAATAGCTATAAAAAAAGAAAAGGCAAGATCATTGTAAATTCAACCATAGAAGTTCTATCATAAAATTGGCCTGCACCATTGTACAAATAAGCTTTCTCAGTTGGAAGTACTTAAGTATGTTCTGTGCTGTGATACACCCGGGTTTATCTTTCTTACACTGCAATGACTCACTACTCCTTCTCCTTTGATCACAAAGACCTTGTCCCACACAAAGTACAGGTGCTCCAAAATAGCTGTGGGACTGCAAAAGTGTTACAAATGAAGCCACGCTTGCTCAGTCCCAAGCATACCAAATTCAGTTTTCCCTCTGAAGTACAATTTTGGTATGGCAAGATGCTTACAGCGGTGGAGGAAACAGACAGAAAACACAGACTGCAGCCTGTATCGAAAGCTTGCCCTCTAAATTGGCAATGAAAATAATGCTGGTAACCCACAAATGCCATATGTTTGAACCCATATTTAAAGAACATGTGGGCTAACATCAAGTTCCTCAAGGAAAACCTCACCTATTGTAGACACACTAAACCAGTGCACCAGCCAATCTCCAGTACCAGTATTTACTTGAAACCTTAAATTAAGGTCTTAAGGATTCACAGACTTAACTATGATTTGGAATTTAATTAATTTTAAGCAGCCAGTCAGGTCTGAAGTAAATGGGGTCCACTTGTTTTCAAGTTGACATCCACTTCAGTTTGATGTTGTAAGTTGTATTTCTGGGAAATTTTAAGAGCCTAGGGACATATAACCTTTCTAGAAAAGGTCTGTTAGGGTCAGAATGGACCCCACGTACACCAAAAACACCTTCATCAGAGTACAACAACCATGAACATACACTGGAATTCCACCGTAAGCTGAAGGGACAAGGAGAAAGCTCTGTAATAGTCCCAAACTGCTATTTCTGTCATAAGAAGGTTCTAAATCTCTCCAGAATAATTCTCCTACCTATGGTGAGCAGGCCTCGCAGAAAAATCATATGCAGGTTCAGAGTAGTTGGAATAACCAGTCCAACTGCAAAGCAAATGTTTGCCACGTGGAAAACAAGATGATGAATCTCTTTCCAGTTTTCACATGCAGTTTCATTGAAAGGCACAAGGGTGGCATTTTTTAAGTCTGGAATGAAACCTAGTGGAGTAACAGTGAGTGGGCTCATTGTTGTAGTATTCATCTTGGAGGCTCCTGAAATGAGAAAGAGAAGGAAAAAAAAAAAGTCACTGTGCATTAAACTGAAATATATTAGACATACGCATGGATTTTAGAGTTATTTTCCCCTTTCCCAGGATATATCTTCTGTTGTCATTCATGGGAAAAAAAAAAAATCTTCAAATGCTGTAAAAAGGTAAGCTAGATCTATAGTTCAGTAATGCTTACTATCTCTTTCACCTAAAAGTTAGGCTTGAAGAATGGTACATTTCAAAATTTGGAAATAAATACTACCATCTCTCCTCCTAGTTGATCAGATGCTATCAAATCAGAAAGGGAGATACCTGGGCTGCTAAGTTATGACAAGGTTGCCAGTCTTTCAGGGAAATCACTTGGTCTACCTAGTACAAGCAAGCTTGCTTGTCTGGGGAACTCCTGGAGAAAATGAGACCATTAAAAAAGCTGATTTAAGATACCTGTGGGTAAATATCTTCCCAAAACAAAGTGAAAAATTACTATTAAAAACAAGCTACGAAGAGAAACTGAAAGTTTTCAAGACACTACATTTAAAAATCTTAAAAGCCAGTCTCTGTAAGGAACTGCAGCCTGTGCTGCAAGCAGTCCACAAGGTCATCTCAACCCAGAGCAATTCCCAGCTGAGGGAACACGACTGTTCCTAAATGGGCTGCCAGAAACACAGGAGAACCCTGCTTCCAGCACTCATGGTCTCCTGGTGTACAGAGCTCGGCCGGAGTCTCGTTAATGAAATACACACACGTATCACTGAGCAAACAGGGTCTGTAACACGCAGCACAGTGGGATTTGCATTCAAGTAAATTCTGTAGAGACACTGCACGTCCCTGCCGTGTGTGCTCACTAACAGTCATGTAATTCATCTGCTCACCAGACTTTTGAGTCACAGTTAACAGATTTGATATTTCCTGCAGACTGGAATACGCTCAGCATTTCTCTGTTATTTGAAAGCTCTTCTTGGGCTGTGAAGTAATTTTGAGTCGCTTCAGTTTCATTCATTCTTTTTATTATTTCCCCCTCCAATCAACTTGTGTACAAGCCATAAACATGCTGGACAATTTCTGATATTAATCAGTCTTTTAAAGCCCTTTTTAAAGTAGTGGGAAGAAAGAAATCGGGAAGAAAACCTCAACCCTCTGAGCGCTCTTCTCCAATGCCCAGAGCCTGTCACAGCTAAGGCACGCTACAGAACACGCAGAGGCATCTTGCAGGATCGAACACTATCACGGACATAGTGCTAACCATATCTGGATAGAAATGATTTCCAAGGAAAAAAAAAAAAAATCTAATTCTTACCAAAATACATAATTCACTTATTTCTTAAAAGCTCACGTTCCTCTTTTATTCACAAAGGTTAATTAAAATGTGGGGGTTTTTTGGCATAAACAAATTCTATGCTAAATTGTTACCAATAATCACAGTGCCCAAAGAAATTCACAGTCCAGGTATCATACAGGCACCTTCCAAATACGCTCCTTTATTCTTTCAGCGCTTTCGAATGAATTCAGCGATGGAGCCACAGGGGCAGTTTCACCATCCTGACAAATCCACCCGCGCACAGAGCCAAAGCGTGAGCCGGCACCAGGCTACAGGATGGGCATTTCAATGCACTCAAACAGAAAGCAATTGCTAACTGAGTAACCGTGTTTGTGCCCATCTTACACACATCTCATCACCATGCTCCTGTTGTTTTCAAACAATATAAACGCCCTACACTGGAACAGCAGGATCTCTAGATCTTTTGCAAAAAGTTATCAGCTGAATGTCTATCTTATGTTCAGTCTTTCACTGCGTAGTCATCTGCCAATAAAAGCACCACTTAAGAGCCATCATGTGGTAAAAGAACAAGTGAAAACAACCAAACTCACATACAGAATCAGTCATAAATCCATCAACTCATCTCAAGATCAAAATGACTGCAAGAAGTAGCTTCAGCTGCATTCAAGTACGAAACACAAAATCATAGAACGATTTGGGTTGGAAGGGACCTTTCAAGGTCATCTAATCCAACCCCCCTGCAGTGAGCAGGGACATCTCCAACTAGACCAGGTTGCTCAGAGCCTCGTCCAACCCAACCATGAATGTTTCCAGGGATGGGGCTTCTACCACCTCTGGGCAACCTGTTCCAGTGTTTCACCACCCTCATTGTAAAAAGTTTGTTCCTTCTATCTAGTCTAGATCTACACTCGTTTAGTTTAAAACCATTTCCCCTTGTCCTGTAACTACAGGTCTTGCTAAAAAGTCTGTCTCCGTCTTTCTTATAGGCACCCTTTAAGTATTGAAAGGCAGCAATAAGGTCTCCTTGGAGCCTTCTCTTCTCCAGGCTGAACGACCGCAAATCCACAAAGCTTTCCAGATCCTTGATTTTTTAAATAGCAAAATCTTGTACTGTATTGTTGGGAGAATAGAGGCTACATTACTCTTCAAGACTTGGCTGTGAAGCATCACATGCTTGAAGACTGGAAACCCAACGAGCCAAATCAACTACACGGCACACAACAATCTCCTCCTACTCACAACCCAGCCAAAACACTGTTCCCCTCATTAGCCACAGATATTGATGCCACAACCCACCAGCCATAAATAGTCACAATGGAAAGACGTTTCTCCAACAAACATTGGCTAAGTCAATAACAATTGACAATAAACTGACAGCCTTTGACAATTAAGTGTCTGCAGTTGTAATAACAAGATGCTCAATGCTTTTTAAAGTCTGGGCCACCTGCTTAGTTGCCTAAATCTAGCCATGTCCACTTTTTTTTTTTTTTTTAAAATAAGCCATGTCTTCAGTACCTTGAAGTCTTTATATGGTGATATTTGAACTTAATACTCGCAAACAAACATTGCAGCATCACTAAGGTACTGGAAAACAGCAGCAAGCTGCAGAAGTTTTCTGTCAAGATGGTATTTTAAAGCTGTCAGAAATAGATTGATGCTATCTGCAAAATGACACGGGGACAGATTGTGACAGCGGCTCTGAAGGAGAGCTGCCCATGAATTTCAACAAGGGATCCTGCTTGAGAAGTGACAAAACAGGCAGGCAGAGCTACAAGCTCTAACCCAAAATGTTTGTCCACAGGTGATACTAGAAAGATAAATATTCAAAATAATAACTCTGTAATTTTTAGATCCAATTCTTTAGTCCTAGCGTCTATTGTTGTCAAATAACACTGAAGAATTAATAAAATATCTGTTGCTGAACAGACGAACAAGCAATTGTTGTTTTGCACCCCCTGCTACCTCAGAGGGCCAAAAATTAATTTTGTGAGTACAGAACCAGGCCTTTAAAACTTTAATTTAGGGTTGTGTGTGCCAAGGTTTAGTGCAGCATGAGACTTCAAAGCCTTATGCTTAAGTCTTCAATACACAAAGACATGTATTAATACCAGAAGTTATAAAGGCAACCAATGTGGGCAAATAATTTTGGAAAAATTGGAGAAATAGTGTCAACTGAAATGAAAGCTTTACGGCGCAGAAGACAAGTAATTAAAATCAATTTTAATATCTAGTATTTTTTCCTTCATATGAACTTAGATTTACCAAACTAAGAGTCTGAAAACGCAGCTGATTGAAAACTCAAGCCAATTTGTTGTCCAAACAGGAAAAGAAAATGAACAAATACTGAAAAAATACCATTCAGTGACATTTTAAAATAAAATATTTTAGAAATTAGTATAGTTAACAACAAAGCCTACTATTTTTTTTTTTGTCAATGAATTTAATAGGTAATAGATCATGTTTTTAGATCTAAGGTAACAGATTATGTTTTTAGGTCTGAAAATACAAGTTCTCAGAAGGTAAATGAGCTGAGCTCACTCTAGGATTTTCCTGTGCTCAGGACATCTTTATACAAGAGGCCAAACTTCTGAGAAGCCATTCCAAAAAGTATTTAGTCCCTAAATCTTCACACACAAAGATGCCTTTTTGAAAAATTGAGGTTTTATGGATATCTACACAGCATTCACAGAAGACATAAGATATATATATAAGATATAAGTTTAAAGCAGTTGGTTTAGCAGGAGCACGGATCAGCCAAGCTGAAACGGAACAGTGAAGAGTGTCCCACACACATCATCATCCACTTTATTGAGATTATTCACATCCCACAGCTTTACTGTTCAAATTTATTCAAGTGAGCTTCTTAAAGCTTGGCTTGAATTTGTTTGTATAACTCTGCAGTCATTGCAGCTTTACAGTCCATTATTTATGTAGATGGATTTTGTGAGTCTAAAGGAAAAAAAAAAAAAAGAAAAAAAAAATCAAGCTCAACTTTAAAAAAAAAAAAAAAATTCCTACCTGCAGAACTTTATCTACTTTTCTGCGGTCTTGTAGCACAAAAGCTGCATAGAGAATTTAGACAACTAAGAATTTCTTTACTTTTGCCAGCTGAAGACAAACTATTAGCGCTAGCATAATTAAATTAGTTACAGTTTAAGTTACTAATTTCCTTTTTATAACGAAGTCGGAGGGAACGGGAAAGCGGTATAAGAAAAGATGTGCTCCAACATGCAGTTTGGGGCACGTTAATTTCCGTTAAACGTGTCCCTAACTACAGGAATTTGTTAAGTCTTACTCCGCACCCTCTTCTCGGTAAAATCTGACAAGACTTTCATTCCG